ATCCGGCAGTTTGTATCCGATTAACTGTGTAATATACCCGGCATTATTCTTAAACTATTTCGGAAGTGTTGTTTCACGATATGTAGCATGCCTGCTCTCCGCTATTACTTTCGTATTATTTTAAGGTAGCTGGTTTGTCCCGGGATTAGCATCATAATCATCATAATCATCATCATCGTCATCGTCAACATAATCATCACTCTGATCAACTAAACCTGAAAGAAGATCTTCCAAAGAACGAGATTAGTCATAGTCATGGCAAATTCGTACTCGGTCAGGTGGTTATCGGGATCGTAACACAAATTAGCAATGAAATAAAAAAACGATTATAATATAATATAATATAATATTTTGACTGGGAAACCCACAATTTCGCGGTGGATCCGGATCGGCTGGAATAAGCCAAAAATAGAACGGGCAATCAGAAACTTCAACATTAATAAGACAGTATAATTTTCTATTACTATCAACGATGTAAATATTTGCTTGCGTGCATGTGCGAAACAGAATTTTATCAGCTAGCCATCATCTGATCATGGGGATATACTCCGTCGGTAGATTGCGTTCGGATGGTCAATAATCCGATGATAATATGATGGGTTATGAAAAGAATGCTGACGGTGACAAAGGGTTGAACGAGCAGTACATTAATGTGTATGAAGGTTGACTTTACATTTCTTTTCCCCTTGCACCTTGCATTATCCAATCATATCAGTCAAGCCAATGTCACTACTTACCGCGCCCCCTTTATGCCAGCGAGAACAAGAAATGCGCCTGCAGCCACCAGAACGAACGTATGATACTGTGTGTTTAGTGTTCAAAATAACCAACTCGTATAATTGTGTTTATTTTGTGAAACCCAGCAAATATTGGTGTGGCTGTGTATCATGTCATTATTAATGAGCATTGAATGTATAAGCTTCGTTAGTGATGGCCCACCCAAACTGAATATATCTCATCTGGTACCACATCTTAATTAAAAGTGGGTGGGATATAAGAATGTGAACTTTAAATGGCAATCTCTCATATCCGCTAACATGACAATACGGATCATTGTATTGTCTACTTGTTAGCGATCACAGTCTCTCTCCATGAGTAAACATAAAACATAAGCGCAATTACCACAACATCGCGGCTAATCCACAATAATGAAGCACAAATAAAAATTAGAATACGCTCTGAACAATACGAGAATTATTGCACATTATAATTGCAGATAAGGGACGATATAGGTATCCTCAATACATAGCCTATTTTCGCCAGATATGGTTATATTAATGCAATATAATATAATATAATATACTACCACAATATACACTAAGCACAACAAAATAAATAAACAAAATGCGCATACTTATTTGTAAATTTATTATTAATACACGAATTATGTATTTTTCCGCAATTCCAGAGTCAACCAGTGGAATACCATTGAATATTCTTATGTGAAAATCTACAAGTCGATCACACGACAATGTAAACTTTACGGGTATTTGTTGTTGCGCAAATAATCCATAATTATCCGTTACGTCATTTTGTACAACGTTAATCGCACGAGTGCATCTGTTCGATATTGTAATGTTGGGAAAGTATCGCCCCTTTTTGATGATCGACGGCTATCAGATCATCATCGTCTCCCTGCAAATCTTGGTGATATAATGATTTCTTGGCAAAAGTGGAAAATGTTGGTAAAAGTAAACGGCCCGCTTAAAGTAGACAAACTGCAAAATAATCTAGACGACGATGCGCCACTCTGCATACAGTCTTGGATAATTCGTAATAGTCTAATATAATACAAATTACGGCAATGCTACAAATAAAAACAGAAATCTTCGTTTCATCGTTACACTTCTAATTCTACTGTTACAGTTTCTATCTAGAAAATGCCATAAGTGGCTGTGGAATGGCCATCAGGTGAGACTCTTAATTAAATACTGCAGGCTCTTGTCGAGTCTGGCTGTCTAATTAGCTGTTCTAAAGACCTAATCAATTGCAAGCAGGTCATTAATGGACAACTAATTTCCATTGTTAAGATGGACAAGGAGAGTGTTAATGAGTGTATGCTACTAATCGATCAGGGAATGTGTTACAAACCTTGAAAACTACCATCGATAGTAGATTTCGTCACAATTCTTTTATTCTATCTGTAAGATTGCTTTTGTGTTATCCTCTTTTGGAAGAATAAATATTATCGTATTGTTTACTGATGGTGTGTGCTAGCTGATAAAACAATGATAAATCAGACACCTAAACAATGCATTATTAACACGGTTATTAATCTCTATCGAGTTTATTAACAGATTAATATCTTGTTATTAGAATTCAATTTGACGCACAAATTCTGGATTGTAAATATTCTTAGTAATATACTTAAGCTTGATGTTACAGCGTACAAATTACTAAATTAGCCTACTTACAAATGTATACCAAGGGTTCATACGAGATAGGAGCACTAATGAAACACGGCAATATTTAGCAATTCTTAAAAGTAATAACCGAGATTGCAACAGCAGCAACGGCAAAAGTTTACTCCATATTAAGCAGCACCCATGAATGGTGCAAGCAATGATACAGTCTTGTCGGATTTTTGTACCTGGTATCGAGGAAGACCCGTATGCAGATTGTCGAGACAAAGAATGCTGATGTAAATATAAGCTGTGTATTATTAAAACGCTTATATGGATTCACGTCTGATGAATTAAACATTCGTATGTTAAAAAGGCGGAATACCAAGAAGCCCTTTGACAAATCAGTATTGAATATTGTCACTCCATCTCCATTAATAGTAATGTTTTCCTAACACGGTAAAACCAAAAAAATTTTCCTTATCGACACAATACTCATTCGGCTAGAAATAGAATATGATGCCACAAACCAATGTAACACAATTATGAAGGAAAGGCTCATCGCGAACAAGTATGAGCTGCTCGGCTAATTTGGGAATAGTCTGTAATATCCTTCGATAGACCAAGTAATTATCACTTTCCTATTCTTAGTATTTTCATCCCTTTTGTTATTCCCTATCCGATCGTTCTCTTCTTCGATCTTCACAACTTTCCCAAATCTTGGTGTGAATGACACACTATATGCACCATTTCGAGACACATTTAAGTTTCATTCTGACGGAGGTCAATAAGTGTCTGTCGAATCAGAGACGGTCAATCAACAGGAGCTATAAGATTTTCGTACATTACATCCGAAAAACATGGAGGGCCAAGTAGAAATGCATGGAGAAGGAAGGGTAATAGGGAGTTGCAAAAGATGATGCCGATAAGTTCCCAGGACAAGTGTTGGCCGATGCATTAATTTTCAACATCTTCCCCAAATAACGACATATTCGAGGCTTGATTTTGTTTGCCCAGAGTGTAAGATTAACCGATAGCATGCAAATCGCAAGGGTTAAGGATTAGGGATCGGAAGTTAGATAGTATTAATGCACAAATAGAATAATAAGAGACCGTTATGGTAATTACAACCTTCGTATAAAACTTATAATCGACAATAGATAATGTATCTTGGTATTATTATCTTTCGTATCAATCCATCATACGAGCGATCGCCACATATCATATGTCTTGCTCTACGCCTCTGATCACCGTCCATTCCATTTCGTCTTTTTTTCTTTTTCATTTTATGGTCTATAAACGCTTGACTGTTATTAATTGTTTTCAGATCCACACAGTCCATCATTTAGCTGTACCAATAGTACAGCGACCCGCACGTAGTTCTTTGGACAGACCAAAAAGAATTGTTCCGAAGATCGCCAGATGCGACAAGTCGGTGCTGACAAACCGCTAAGGGAGGGTTATAAAGCGTCTAAATACGTAGATTTTGAGAACAAGTAAAAGTACGTTATGGGTTCCGATTGACTGATCATGGTAGGGTGTTGGTTGTTGTTGGGGGGAAGGGGAAAGGGTGGGATGATAGATTTAACGCTTATTGGGAATGGTTTAGATATTTTGGTAATATGCATAATATAACGACAACTTGAAATAATCACCTGTATAATTATGAACTTGATTACCTATTACATGAGGGCCAGTATATATTTCAAATGATAAGCATTTTGTTTGTCACGTACAATCGTTTGAAGTGAAGTCATAATGGTATGCATTCTGTGCGAATCTTCTATTATACGCTGATTACCTAACTAGATTAAGGTCGTTTTGCCGAAAATTATACACAGTAAATGAGATTACGTGCCTATTATGGCTTAAAATGCTAGTCGCATATACTGCATCTATGCACTTGGTAAATAGGCCTTACCCAACTATTTGTAGACTTGCTCCTTCGTCTCATATTTCATCCATGTTTCGAGGCAGAGTTCTCCCATATATATTTCCCGTATTATGCAAGCTACTCCATAATATATAACATGGGACGTTTATACATAATACCTTATGGCCGTTTACGTATATTTATATTCCAAAGAATTAATTACATAAGTTTATATAAATATAAATATAAATATAAATATAAATATATATTATCTTATATTAAAATAGTATAAATTTTTTATGTACAAATAATCACGTGTTAGATTAGCGCACAACATTGACTTTTACTTTATAGCATGATCTATACTTTATATACAAATAAAGCTTTAGGTTACACACAAATCGTGGAAATAAATATAAACATCCCTCTTTCTCTTGGACCTCAAACACTTCTCGTGTTTCCCAAAATCACTTTTATTTCTATTTCTATTTCTCACTTCGTTTATCTTTCGCTTTATTTTTCTTCGTCGTTATCTGTTCCTTGTAAGATACTTTCGTCGTTCACTCTATAGAACTGCCTGAAACGGCTCAAAGTCGCTCTTGCACGGACACTGATATATCAATTAACATCCAATTTGTCTCAGATATAAATTACGATATACACCAATTAGATAACTCATACAAATCTATTATAGAACTTGCCCGCCATACAATCAAATTACGAAAATTATCTGTCGATCTCTACCTACATTCATTGATATACAGACATTAAGAAATACGACAAATATGCAATCAGCTAAACCACTCCTTCCCCCCATCCGAGCGCTTCTCGATTCACCGGTAGAAGATCATACACATGGTAATTTGATGAGTTGAGGGAGAAAGAATTATAGATGAGATGGATTGATGCTGTGACGCTTGCCAACGATCGAGTGGGTAGATGAGCAGTCGAAATGGTGCCAACAGCTGCTGCTGATATATACTCGAGCGGTGGTATTACGTCTCTTAAAACATAGGCATGGGTCAGCATTAATAACCGATGTTATGTTGCAACTCTTGATTACTTGAAATGAGATCAACGTTCAGGATCAAATGCATCACGAACAAGTATCATTGTACAAGTGTAGCAAATTATTAATGACAATCGATAAACGGAATAGTGATGAAAAGTAGACGGGAAACTCGATACGCCAAGTCTATTATATTATACAAGAAATCATACGGCAGACCGTATAGATATAACATACGCTATATGCTGCATGCTATTTACATGATTTGCGTAACCAGTCAAATAATCACAATCGCCTCTTTATTATCACACAAATAGCAAAAATCAATAATCAAAAAAACTGCTCATCTACTCAACTGCTAAAGATGCAAGTAAATTCATACTCGTTTATAACAGCCAAGCAGTAACTAACTCTGTATTCTTTTTTATTCAATTCCCAGAATCAACTCAGCCCGTGGTGGAACAACACTATATCAAAGACGTCTCTAGTGATTATATCAATACAGCCCAGTCTTCTGGTAAACTCAACTCTCTTTCTCTTCAATCCACAACAACGCCTCCAGTGACGCCAATGATATTTCATCAGCAACAACAAGAGCAACAGCTACAACAGCAGCAACAGCAGCAGCAACAGCAGCAGCAACAGCAGCAGCAACAGCAACAACAGCTCCAACACCACCATCAACAATCGCTTCAACAGCAACTTCAACACCAGCAGCAACAGCATATCCGCATTCAACAACAAAAGCAGCAGCAGCAACAGCAGCAGCAGCAGCAGCAACAGCAGCAGCAGCAGCAGCAACAACAACAACATATCCAACACATTCAACAGCCACTTCAACACCACATTCAGCCCCTCCAACACCAGTTACATCTTCCAAAAGACACTTACTCCCAAACACAACGTCTGCAACCTCTGCTTCCCACTCTCCCAGCACCATCTCAACAATCGTATCCACAATCATATCCACAATCACTCTCACCCACAAAATCTTCAATGTTACTCTCCAACTTACCGAATAATCCCCACCCATCAAATATTCTGTCTCTACTCTCCCCGCCCGAGTCACCAGATATGACATCCACAAATCATCCCTCGTTTGAATATCGACAAGATGCAACCCGTTACCCTGCACAACAATACACGAATTACTCATATATGAATAAGGCAGCGACTCAGTTGTACACGCAAGCTCTTCTTACACCGCGAGCACCATCTCCACTCTCAACATCCATTACTCAGCAGCCAGACTTTACACAGTCGCATCAATACGCATCATTACAACGATATTCTTCCCATCCGTTACAATCGTCGGCACTTTCCCCGTATCATCGCACGCCTCTCTCGGCTGCTCAGGCTATACCTCGAATTGATCTCTCTTCATCGCTCATGGCTCAATCAAAACGCCTTGGATCACCAAAGTCGCTAGATGACCCATCTGCATCTTCCACCCAGTCGTCTACTACAAATAGATACCAATGTCCATACTGCTCCAAGAGGTTCAGTCGCCCAAGTTCGTTACGCATTCACACATATTCACATACAGGGGAGAAGCCATTTGTATGCACCGAACTTGGATGTGGAAGAAAGTTTTCTGTACAAAGTAACATGAGGAGACATCTACGTGTACATCGACTGGGTAGACCTGTAAAGAAGGTTAGATATGATGGTGAGGTAGAGGGTGTGAAGGTCATGAACCCAACAACGGTGTTGAGAGGATGCTAAAAGGAAAAAAAAATAATACAAACGATCGTATATTGCGTGTGTCATCGAGGATGCTGTGAGTGTGTTGGTTACTGTTGACGTAATCTGCATTAATACTTTTTGTAATATTGATTGTGGCGGATATGTTGGATATAGTTTGAATACGATGTTTTGGGCACGAGATGGAATTTTGGATATTTGACGAGATTGTTCGAAACAAAGTGTCAAATTATTGTGAATATGAGATATATAGAACTATCAGATATTTCTTTATCAAATGATATATCAAAAAAAAAAGTCGGCATATTTGGGGGGGCGACTGTGTTACGTGGAGCTAATTGAACATTCTTGGTTCCACGTTTTCGCTTTGTATTCGTGTTTTTTTTCTGCTCATCTTTTCTTCGTTTTTTACTTTTTGTTTATATTCTGGACTATTGTATCGTTTTTCGATACGACGTTCCTGTAACATTTCCTTTACTTTGGAATAACACAATTGTTTTGGCTTCCGCATTCATACCCATTTTCTTTGTATCATATGTTTTCACCGAAACCCCCCCTTCTTCTGACAAGATGTGAGAGAGAAGAGAAGAGAGAGAGACGAGAAGAGTTTCACGATGAATGTTGGATCTCAATCGGATGGTAGAAGCTTGCTATGTTTATATGAAAGACATATATATTTGAACATAGTCAATGTCGTGTTCTATGACATGACGAATTACTGTAAGACTGTGCGATATATAGTCAATGTGATAGTTATAGCTGTCTGTCTTTTGGTGATTTTCCTCATTCATCGTTTGTTTCGATTGATGTTTATAAGAGTCATATTTATTTCATTTTCGAAGGCGATCAGTTGAGGAATTGATTCCACGAGCAAAACCGAATGAATTTAACTTTTACTTTACTTTACTTTTCTTCTCTTGATTCTTTTCTTTTTATTTCTTTTCATCATCGCATCAATCTTATACATCTAATGATAGATGACCAATGTCACCAAAATACACACACACACACACACAATCTTCCACCTTTTGCTATAGATTAATACATGTTACAGGATATACAAAAGCAACACCGAATAGACTTTTTTTTTCTCAAATTTCACTTATTCTCTTCAACGGTCGTATGCATTTTCTATCATTTTACTTTCACTTCATTGCAAAATCATCTGTCATTCCTCCTATTTTTGTATGTTTGAGATTACGACTATAGGAAATTACCCTCTTTTCTAAGGTCGACGTCGACCGGTTCATTAAGACAATCTTTTTAATTTTTATGATATGTTACGTCCTTACGCACACTGCTATGCAACTCTTATTATATTTTGGGAAAGTTTTGGGTTTAAAAGGAAAGAGTTTGGTTCAGGAGGATATTAAAATTGTTGGGGTGTATTGAATGAATAAATAAAAAGAACGAAGGAAAGATATTAAACTGCACATAAGATTTTGGGGGAGGGGGTCTGGATGATGGGGTCTGGATGATGGGATGTTTGTCCTAGTAACGGTAATAGTAATTTAATTGACTCGATTGCAAAGTTACCTATTTTGACTTAAATGATCTTTCTTCCACTGTTCTAGCAGCCGAACATCTTTATGCAACATAAACATTGAAATCAGCAAGTCATGCAAGCAGCTGTGATCTTAATCCCGAATGGAAACTAGCTTCGTTTTAATGTGCAACAGGATAACGAATTGGCTGTGATAACATACGAAGGTGATATTTATTTCTAATGAATACAAATTTGGCAGTTGAAATGGGTTATTTCTAGATATTAATTATTGTCACGGTGATACCCATGTATTATTGTTGAACGATCGTCATAGCGGAATTTCCGAATGAGCCCGGACATCACTAATATATGTTTATTTAGAAGCGGCTGGGCGGCAGGTGCGACTGTTTACATTTATTTACCACTTATTTGCACTGCATTTTCATGTATGCATCGAACATCACTATCGAACATCATCTTCAAATAGTATGGGCAGGTGGACGGTCTCTGTTTACTATATTTATTTATACATACTATACTCTACATACATACATACATACATACATACATACATACACACATACATACATACATACATACAGTACTATACATAACATACATATTACATGGCGGAGCAACTTTTATTCCTGTTGATTTAATTTCCGAAACGTTGAAGCAGTATTCACAATGCTATTCAATTCAGTTTTGTACATTCTCCCAAATATGCAAAACTGATATTCTAATCTGGGAATTCGAAGCAAAGAGGTTATTTGTGGTACGTACGTGTACGTAACCTTTATTTTACTTTATATTTTATTTATTATTGTTTTACTTTAGAACATTGGGTATAATAATAATAAGGGCCCACAATCGGCAATTACCATTTTTTGCATTGGGTTGCCGATCTCCACATGATCGGATCAACATAGTACAACACGTACTACGTAAATCCGGAGAGTCATTTTCCCATGTATCCTGCAACACCGTATATATATGCATAATGTATTTTCATATTGATGAACCCCTTCTCTCTTTCTAAATACAACAATAATGCTTTTCAAGCAGTAAAAATCGCATGATCACACACAGGATAATGCCAATGTATAGCGATATAGCGATAACGTTAACGTTAACGATAAGCACGAAATCTAGTAGATTTCCGAATCTTGGTTTCAAATATAGACACGTGTCTGATTGATCTGATCGTCAACCCACGTGTGAACAATAGGTTTCACGGTTAATAAAGAGCTGACAAGTTTTCGCTTTGAATAAAAAATCTACATAACTATTATTCTGTAACATGGGCCAAAAGTTATAGAGTGTAATTTTATGACAGAGCCATCAATGGCGACGGAAATGCACAGAAACATGGATATTTTACAAAAAGTAGATAAATATCATGAGAAAGATGCACGTAAACGACTTTTAGTGGGTTAATAAATAAAAGGCGTGCGCTGTTACAAAGGATCAGCCATTTTAAGAGTCGACGAAAAAGATGAGATGAATAAATTATGAATAGAGGCCAGTTTCAGGAGACGGAAAGATAATTTGTTGTGTAAATAAAGCTGATCAGAAATTTGAAAAGAAGAAACTATCTCACTTGTCAAAGAAATTTCAAGTTACGCCCAAGTAGAATAAGCGCTTGGGTATTGAAGACATAATAAATAGAGTCATGACTAACGATGAATTTATATATATTCGAGAACACATTTTGCCAATGCTGAAAATTTATATTTAAAAATCGCATTTCAAGTCACGATAATTAGACGCGTCCAATTATAGGCTACTATATTGTCTAATTTTTATTTTTCAACCTGCAAAGGAAAACTATAAATATACAACTAAACTCTTAGTCTTTTGGTCGTAATTGTTTAGTATTTTTTTCGTTAAGCTCATAATAATTGTGAAAGGCAACCTTGGCGACTTGAGGCCTTGCCATCAATTTTACCTTTACCCGATAAATTTTATTCCTGGCAAGATTGTTCACTCTTTAACGAACGCATGGTCAGTAATACATAATTTTCTTTGTATATTATAAATTTAATGATATCAATAAACTAGAGATTTTTCTTAAACAGTGACAGCACGGCCATTGACTGTATTATTACATTTACTTTCTCTAGATATATCATCACACGTCAGGCGCTATTACTGTGAAAAATTAGGGCATCCTCAAAGGCTGGGCTGTTATATATTGCTCTCCCGTATAAAGTGGCAAAAGTTTTATTAGTTAATGGCGAGTGTGTGTTTAAATACTCGTAGGTTAATAAACAAAAGATATTGTTTAACGCACGCTGTCGCTAAATTAGCGAAATCAAAAGATGTATAGAGGTATTCGATATATTGACATTTTTGATTAGTCGATTTATCTTAATATTAAATGTAAAGATTATATAGATTTTATTCATTTTGTAACAAAAATTGAAGTATGATAATACATTACAAGTCATGAATTAATAATTCTAACGCGCGCTAATCGCCAATCGCCAATCCAGTAATTACATACAAATGTCATCTTTTTATCCATACAAAAGTCTAATAATTTTATGCACTTTCCTTATTAATCAATGCCTGTTTGGTAACTAAATCATTATATAGTCCTTTCATGTTGATTAATTGTAAATGTGTACCTTGCTCAACCACCCTTCCTTTCTTTAGTACCAATATTAAATCTGCATTTTGAATAGTTGATAATCTGTGGGCAATCGTGATGGTAGTACGTCCAGTTGACGCATTGTCAAGCGCATCCTGCACAACTTTCTCGCTCTCACTATCTAGCGCAGACGTAGCCTCGTCAAGAAGAAGAATCTTGGGATGACGAATCAATGCACGTGCAATAGCTATACGCTGTTTCTGTCCTCCTGACAACTGTGTGCCCTTCTCGCCGACTCGTGTATCGTACTTGAGTGGAAGGCTCATTATAAAGTTGTGAATATTCGCTGCTTTTGCTGCTTGCTCAATCTCCTCTTGACTACATCCTTCTTTTCCATATGCTATATTTTCGCCAATAGTCAAGTCGAACAATACCGGCTCTTGTCCTACTAATGCCATATTCGATCGAAGATATTGTAAATTCATATCCTTCACGTTAACTCCTTCCACGCTCACTCGTCCTGATAAGACGTCATAGAATCTTAACAACAGCGACACGGTCGAACTCTTTCCACTACCAGATGGACCAACGAGAGCGATAGTTTTTCCTGCCAATATATCTATATTTAATCCTTTCAATATAGGCACATCCGGTCTAGCTGGGTAATTAAACACGGCATTCGAGATAGACGATGTACCGGTAATAGGAGCAGGCATTTCTTTGCCCTCAACATCGGATGCGTCAACAAGACTCTTACGATCTAGTATCTCCAACACGTTGATAGCAGCAATTTTGGCTTTCGCTGAACTTGGGGCAAACGACGACATCTGTCCAAGCGACATGGCAGAGAATACTACCGCAAATAGTGCACGCAACGTCTGCTCCTGTGTGTATTCAAACTTGCCCATGAGTCGACTTCCGTACCAGAATGCAAGAGCCCATACGAAAAACAAGAGACCTTGAGACAATCCAAATCCGAGAGAGCTTATGTAATTACCCTTCACTGCTATCCTATGTGGTTCCAAAATGGCACTATTATACAACTCTTTAAATGTGTCTTCTCTTGTCAAGGCAGCGATGGTTCTCATGTTGGATACGCTCTGCTGTACCACTTGTCCCGATTTATCGTACGCTTTACGTGTCTGGTTTCCGTATCCCGCCAACGACTTCATTTGCAACGCGCCGGATGCGATTATAGCAGGCGATGCCGCTGTCACGACTAGGGCCAACTTCCATCCAGCAGAAAACGCAATTGTTAGTCCAGTCACTGTGCTAGAGACTGTCGAAAGAATCGCGCCCATGAGACTACCGGTAAGGCCCTCCACTCTTGATGCATCGACAGCCAACTTTGAAGTAAGTACTCCGGTCGCATTATGTTCATCATCAAAGAAACCAATCTCTTGTTTAATGAGAGCTGCAAATGTGAGACTACGTAATCTTCGAGTTAGACGTTCGCCAGATAGTATGAATAGACCTTGCTGTGCAGCGTTAGCAATGAATGCTGCTCCCGCCAATACAACAAACATGCCAGCCCAGAAATTGGCGTCGTGTTGCATCTTGTGAAGATCGTCAGTCTTGGAGAATATATCGAGAATAGTAGAGAACACGAGAGAGAATAGCGGCATTACTGATCCATTTACAATAGCACCAAGGGCACCGATAGCCATAAAACCAGCCTCTGGCTTGTTCATTCTAAAGATACGACCGAGAGGAGTTTTCTTGTTTTTATTCTTTTCGATTTCTTCCTCTTCGATTTCTTGTTGAGATTTGAAAGACTTGGCAACTGATGCTTTTGTAGACATTCTTCTCATCATTTCGCGCGACTTTGGTCCGTTCATGTCAACAGTAATCTCGTCCGATTGGCCAGAGGATGAAGAATCATCTTCGTCATCTTCTTGTTTTTCGGTATCCTTCTTTGTCTTTAGCTCTTGAGCCTTGACCAAATTAAAGTAGACGCCCTCCTTGGAAATCAAATCGTCGTGTTTTCCCATTTCGATTATTACACCCTTGTTCATGACAACAATCAAATCGGCGTTTTTTATTGTTGATAATCGATGAGCAACAACTACAGTCGTCCTGTTCGCAGCGGCAGCGTCGAGAGCAGTTTGGACCAACCGTTCGGATTCAGTATCTAATGCAGAAGTGGCTTCATCCAGAAGAAGGAGTCGTGGATCTTTTATTAATGCTCTAGCAATAGCGATGCGTTGTTTCTGTCCACCAGAGAGGAGAGAGCCCTTTTCGCCAACATCCGTAGCGTACTTTTCAGACAGTTCTTCGATAAATTCTTGTGCGTTGGCCTTCCTACATGCTTCAATTATCTCATCCATTGTAGGTTCCTTTTCCCCGGGTATGGCACCCCATTCGATGTTTTGAGCAATGCTCGTTGGGAATAAAACTGGTTCCTGTCCCACAAGACCGATTTGACTTCTAAGCGATTTGATATTGATACTTTTTATGTCCACCCCATCTAAATATACTTCTCCGTTTACTGGATCATAAAAGCGTTCCAACAGACTGACAATGGTGCTCTTTCCACTTCCCGAACTTCCAACAAGTGCGACGGTTTGCCCTGGTTGTATTGTTAAATTGAAATTCTTCAATATCGGAACGTCTGGTCTTTGAGGATAGTGAAAATCGACATTCTTGAATTCTATTTTTCCAACCACGTTTGCTTTGACCAATTTAGTGCCAGCAGTGGATTCGGAATCGATCTTGGGAACACGGTCGATCACCTCGTACAATTTAGCGGCAGCACCGAGAGCGTGTCCGATAGCAGCGAAATTAGGAGCGGCATGTCCCAGTTGAACAGCACCGATAATAATCGCAAAGAATACGTTCAACACCGTTCCGCCATCCGTGTAGTGATCAACTATAAGAGTAGCACCATACCAAAATGCTAAACCATACGTTGCGAATAACGTAAACATAATCGATCCCATGCCGACACCGTTAACTAACGCTCTTTTCTTCCCAACTTTATATGCTCTGTCTAGCTTACTAATGTATCGTTGAGTTTCACGTTCTTCTCCACCAAATGCTGCGACAGTTCTAATGCTAGAGAATGCTTGTTCGGCCACAGCACCTGCGGCAGCATAGGCATCTTGACTGTCTTTACTTGCTGCAGCTAGAATTTTAGACATTAGGCCCGCGGCAGCAGCGAGTAATGGGAATGCGGCAGTTAGAACAAGCGATAGTTTCCATTGTTTGGTGTATGCTATAATGAAACCAGCAACAAAGGTTGTAAGATATTGAATAATAAGTCCGACTTTTTCGGCAATGCCTTCTTGCACTAGTGATATATCTCCGGAAATACGGCTAGTTACATTCCCAGTGCTAATAGCATCAAAGAAAGAAATGTCTTGTCGCATAATTGCTGCATAGTATTTTTCTCTGATTCTCTTTGCTTGGTTCTCGCCAGCAACCATCCAAAATGCCATTTGCAAGTAACTTAGTATAAAAGTACCGGCACCGAGAGCAATAAAATAATACAATTTGTCCTTAACCGTATCTTGCATCTGATCTGCTAACGCGCTACGCTGTTCGTCGTCGGTAGTTTGAGCAATTCCAATAGCAAAGTTAGCGAATGCGGTAATTATTCCGCCAAAGGCAATGGTCATTAATGGTAGAGCAGTTCCATTTGCTATAGCGCCGATGCTGCCAAAGGCTATTAATATTTTATCAAAAGTTGTTGCAAAACGGAATAGCTGGATAAATGAGACCTTTTTTTCTTCCTCTCCGTCATTTACGTGTTTTTCTGTTATATTGGACGTCATGTTGTATAATTTCAATAATAAACGATTCTCTGTTTTTTCTTTATCGGTTGGTGAATAAAAAAGTCAAATTCAGGAATCAAACAAGCAAAAATTCGCTAATTGTAATTAACGTAGTAGTTGTAGGCACTGATTTAACGTCGCCCTTGCTATGCTATACTATGAGCGACTGCTCTTGGCAATCCAGCGCGTTGTATTTATGTATTTCCAATTTCCAGTATTTGCAGATCTCGGGCCAACAGTTTTGACATTTTAGGCAAATAACTTTACATGGGGAACCAAGGAAAGACCGACTAATCGGGTAAACCCAGAACCTCAAACACAAGGAATTACATACTTACGTCTGACTTTTCGCACATGCTATGCTCGAATCAATGCGACTGGATAAATTAATTAGATACGGTCATTGATCGGCCCGCGGCGTATTTTTATTCCGTGACTGTCGAAATTTGTTATTGGTTATGAAAAATTTAAATCGACCATTTACTCTTGTTTTTTGACGATAGCTCGTTACTAGCTTTGTTTGGAATTAGACTACAGTTAACCCGTTTAGGATTTTGAAATTATTCTTTTTCTGGCAACTCATTCGCCGTGAAACTTTTTGATTGTCCATGATGATTTACTTTAATCTTAAAGATGAGTAGCCCTATTCACTAAGTAAATTGTAGTGAGAAATAAAACAAAGCGATTACAATATTTTATTATTAGAGTTTGGGCTACAATAATAAGTGTTATGAAAGCTTGTAGAGGCAATCTGGCTTCACTATTACTCTCGGTCACAGGCTTTTGATAATAGTAAGTATAAACTTGTACATCTGATTGACGTTAGAAAAGATAATTAACTTTACCGAATATAACGAGTGTCGGGATGGGTAGGGTATGGGTCAATGTATTTTTTTGTCCAACTTCGGTTCTTGTGCACCACAATGATCGCTTGACGAAAACAATAGTTTGTTCGGCTATGCGAAGCGCCTTTGTTAGTGGCTGTGTCTTTTGTCTTTGGGTGTATTATGATCATCTTGTTTATTAACACCCGAATTATTATTTTTGATTGTTCGATTGTGGTCTCTACTATACCTCTATCAGAAATTCAGACTTTTTTTACCGATCTACAAGGTAAATATTAACGTATGTATGATTTGCGATTACATCATAAACTCGAGCATGGTAGATCAACGCTCCTTAATACCGTTTATACGATATTAGTGTTATTGGAACCAACACCATGTGAGTCAACAAGCAATAATACCGAGTTTATTAACGAACAAATGGGATTATTATTTTCCAAGCAGTTTGTTGCCAGATTTACGAAACATGGAACTTGATAAACGAATTTTTATGTTTAAAGTTCCAAGTTCAAGTTGTATATTAAATGCGACGAATAATGAACAAAAAATTCGTAATTTTCAAAGTCCGAAGAAAAGCTTCACCGGCTCTGACGTAATGACATTGTGTATTTGTTCTAATTTAAGATCATGCGAATGTTTTCCGCTTTTAATCGACATCTATCGGTAATCAATATCCGCAGCAGCCCGGAACCTGTTAACAAGTATGATCGGTATTCTAATACATGTATTTCATCACAATGTTCAGAAATACAACCAATTAGCTTCAGGTTCATTGACGGTTAAATGGTTCGGGAAAAAGACGAATTTCATATCTAAGCATAGACGACGTAGTACACACACATGAATTTTGGGGGAAATGAATGACCGGTCCATTTCGGAAAGACCCTGGATGGCAGTGACAGTTTAGACGTTATCAAAATTATCACTCGGTTTTAGCTATAAAAAAATACAAGGTTTTTTGTTTACCCTTTTCAATTGATTGGCTATTTTATTTCAAGTTGTACAATTGTTTCATATTCATGGCAAAATGGCACCTTTCAAACAGTTTCAGCATCATCAGTACCTCCCTACCATATTTAGTAGTAGTAGTTTGCCAAATTTGGCAATAGATTGGAGGAAGCAAAATTATGGTCGCCCTCACTAGCTCATCGCGATGATAGTGCTCATTAGCTATTGCATTTATGGGGGTAAATCTGAATTTTTAATGCAAATAGTAGAGATTGTATAATATATTGATCGCACAAGTAGTCCCAAATGACTATATGAAATACTGATTTACCATATATGTTATCCAAAGGGTAAGACGCCTTCACTAAGTCCATCGCCCCTGACTATTTTGGTAATGAAACTTTTATATTACCAATATGATGAACTAGTGAGGGCTACCTATATTTCCCGAGTGCTAAACTATCTCCACTACTAAATTTAGTAACAAAGCGTCATTAAATCTGGTACCGATTAGAGCACCTTAGGCTTGTGTCTTACGCCTGACCCATTTTGAGCTAGTCAATACCTTCCTGACTTTGGCAAGTAGGTAAGTTAAAGGGAGGCGCTCATAAGCCCTTGCCTAAATTATACGTGTCATACGATTACTGTTTATGGTACTGTACATACTTCCACTACGTTGGGAGAAGTAAATATCTCCCCTACAGTGCTTGCAACTTTGATTGCCAAATCTGATAGGGAAGTAGCTGATGAGAGCACCCCCGATATCTAGAACGGCCAATAATATAAAAGTCAAACAAGTGCAACGAAATTGTCCAAATTTCATTCTCATCGAATATACAGTATAATTTAGTCGCGTCTATTTGTTTCCGTTGCTGTTTAGTGTTACATCACAGATTACAATATTTAGTATTACTTACGGGGTGACCTGATCCGTCACGTAACAAGACTGTCGTAAATACTCTAGGACGACGTACCGTGATCGATATATTGGTGGACATGCTTAGCAATAAAATTATACAATACGTTGATGGCCACCTCAAATGGTTTTTAAATAACAAGTATTAATTACTTTAAAAGGTATCGCATAGTACAATAATTTAGATAATCACGGGAAGCAATCAAGATGAGGTAATTACTGTATATAGTTCGATATGATGAGTAGTAGAGAATTTTAAAATTAGGTTTTATAACAACTATTTAGCCTATTGTACAGGAAGGTATTTTTATAATACAGACAACTATTCGAGCAGTTTCGAACCTATAGACGGATAATAATAATAGTATTGGCATGCTATTCCATTATTTAGCTTATATTTCTCTGCTCACTCTTTACGCGGGAGGAAAACATTTTGGTACTGTGACTACATTTCTTCCAGAATGGTATGTGACCGCCTCTTAAATTTTCTTTGTTATGTGAGTCATTGAGTTGAACCCATATTAGTATGTTTTACTAGTAAATTTTTGCATCGGGAGTTTACTGTATTTATCTATCGCTTTTATGGGGCGGATAAATACCCGATTACCTTCTTTGCTTCTGAATATTGCATGTCTAAGTTTCCTGAAGTTGAACACTGATATGGTTAATATACGTGTATTACTATGAGTTAACACTGATATTTGAATGGCAGATACCTAAATAAATACGAATATGTAAATAAAAATAAGAGTTCATTCTGTACGACACAGAATCATGTATAATAGTAACACCAAAGCGTATCGAAAATCTTACACTATTGAAAATCTTTTTACTTCAGAACAATGTTGGTAGAGACTTATACGACAATTGACGACCTCATTCAATCCTCCTTGGAGAGTGAAGATAAATACTTAGGACTTGAGTGGATTCCTTACGAGAAAATTACCAACATAAAGCCAACTCACATTGACAATGTTCATTACGCTATTTACAAGCGAACTGATGATGAAATGCCGATAACGCTGGTATTCCTTGGAAACAGCGGAGAATGTACACAAACACTTGTTAGTGAGTTTGCTAGAATATACTCACTTCCACACAAGCACGATAGTAATAGCGACAACTTCAAAAGATATTCCACATGGCTCTACTCTCGCAACAGACTCATCATTGGATTTACCAAGTCTAATGACAACTATTACATGGTTGCTGATAAACGCTTTTACCGTTGTTATTCTCGATATGGATTCTGCTCCGCATGTGAAAGACTTCGATGTAGTCCTGTGTGGTGCATTTGCGGTCATAAAGAATTATCCACTGGATGGACTAGCAACAATAAGCAACTCGATGAGTTTATTAAGAAATCCCAATTACAAACAAACTCACCAAATCATGCCTATTTGGAATGGATTCCATACGATTGTATTGACATTAGGACATATGACTTATTAGCATTTTATATTCTACCTATTGATCAACGTGTTGAATTAATTCCGCTTGAGATAACAGACGAGACGCATGATTTATATTATGCCGAGGTAAACTATTTACTTAGCGTCATGTTTATTGAATATTTTAAATAATTACTGACATTTATCATTTCCACTAGTTATGTGATAAGCATCCAGATATTCTTACCACGGATGTTTGGATTACCATCGGATTCACACATAGAGGGGGAGAGTATTTTCTAATAAAGGAACGCAATGGGATTGATTTATGCCTGGCATGTACGAGGCGATTAGAACCTAAGATAAATGCATTCTGCTATTGGTGTAAAATACCAAGACCTTTCGATTGGACTACGGGCAACAAGTCACTGGATTCATTTATTATGGAGTCGTGGAGTAATATGAATAGTGAATACGATACGTATATACAATGGATAGAATGCTCTCTATTGACAAACATACAAGAGATGGCATTATTAAGCCATGGATGCACACATACAGCAGATTGGAGAACAAATGAATTGACACGTGTGACACTCAAAAAGATAGGTGACGACCA